CCTCTTTTTCTCTCACTACAGGCATGCTAATAACCAAATTTGATACTTTTATACTTCCTGCTGTAAAGTTCCATTTTTGAATTATCACCGTCCCAAAGGTAGACTCAATGCCTACATACAGAGGTAGGTGGAAGTGTAACGGATATGAAGGGCACACTGATGGCGCTTATATTGGCTTTACAAACAACATGCACTGTTTTACACTTTTCAGTGGCATGTTAAGGCAAAAAAAAGTTACTCACATTTCTTCTACATCTACAACTGTTCTTCCGACAGGAATCACATTTGGATAAGCCTTCATTGGCTGAATATAATGGAGAAAATCTTGAATCTACATAAATAAAATAAAAATTGAATTAAGTTTATAAAAAAAAAAAAAGGAATCCATTTTAGAAGGAGAGGCAGACAAACAGTGACTCTTGTTATTCATCAATAATAGCCAGTGGGAGAATGTAGAGCATTGGCTGGACAGTGGTAGAACATACCTCACTGTATGAAGAGTGAAAAGAAAAGCACGCCCGATATGAGCTGTCATGGATTCTAAAGGAGAAGAGAAATACAAAATTGGGAAATGCCCGACCTGCAGATGATTGGGTGTTAGTGCCCAGGGCACTTCCTTGTTGGGAGAAGGTGAGGTTCGGACTGAGTTCAGTCCAAACCTGAGCTTATCCCTAACTAGGAAGGACACCCACAGAATAACACAGCACACATAAATATAACTCAACCTTAACATGTCTGACACATTTGCTATTGAATGTTGGGCACTGCAAATAAATGCCATTTATTATACAGTATATCCTTATTTATTGTATATGCGGTTTTCAGCATTCTATGTTCCCCTATGTCAGTATAGGCTTATAAAACATTCCTTTCAACAAATGGAATACAGTCAAGTATTGGTCAGTGAGCACGTTGTGCATCCATAGTGAGGTACAGCTAAAGATAAAATGTTTCTACAGACACATACAGTACATTAGGATATGATGACACACACCTTGCTACCACATTGGTTTTCCTCGTCCTCTCACCAAACCACATAGTTGATGGTTTAATGGTAATAACACGTAAAGGGACTCCATCGTCTGAAAACATTCCACATGGCAATCTGTTGCCTCGCAGGAAGTCTTCATTCTTATTCAAACGGGAAGAAAAAAAAGAAACAAATTGAAGCCCTTTTTTTTTTTTAAAGGACATATTAGAAAAAAATTATTTGTGCTTTTTAAAATGACTCTGTACTGCTCACACAGTCAGCAGGGGCTTAATTGTACCTTGCCAGTTTAATGTGTACAAAGTTACTATAAACAGTTTGTTATGTATTCCCATTCACACAGCGTACCTAAAATCATTTTTAAAACAATATTTGTTACCTTTTAACCTTCCTGGCGGTATTCCCGAGTGTGGCTCGGTGTTAATTTTCAGTACCAAAAGTGGTAACCCCGAGCCACACTC